TGAGGATTATTAAGAGCATTGCGTGTGAATTTCGACTAACAGGCTTTAAATCACATTAAACGACCTAGAGGTGCTAAAATCTTGTATAATAATTACGGGTAGTTCCGAACCAGCCTCACGTCGAGAAATGTCATTTGACATTCACGTTTTGTGTTATTCGTGGCAAGCAGCTTCTCTACTTTAGATAGGGTCACAAACGTCACCTGGCATATCAACCAACCTGGTTAATGAAAATCGCGTCTTGACAATTAGGATGTGTGACCAATCAGCCTACGTGGCTGCTTTACACCCATGAACTGGACTCGAATTCCGTGAGGTGCTGATGAGATCCGAGCCAAGTCGCAACTACAGCCCTCCAAGGGTGAGGAGGCTAAGAGATCGTCAATGATACGGTTACTACAGCAGCTCAACTTGAAGTACTAAAGCGACTCCTGATGATCACACTTTCGCAAGTGGACTGTCTGTATTACGGGTGGATCAGAAAAACAAACTATGTGCTGCATCCATTGCTATGGTGCTCCTGTATACCTTATGTTTCAAAGTATAGTCTAGAGCCCACAGCCAGCAGTTACGTCAACAGCGACGACCGCATTGACGTTAATTAAATAAAATAGATTTTTAGACATCGCATCATGGAATATTGCTAGTAACAAGTCGGGTTTGGGCAGACTAAATATTGTCGTTACTCAGACTAACGAATCTGGCCAGTAGATTGATGCTTTTAGGTACACTACACACTCCGTGCCTTAGGGGTAAAAAGTGCACTGGTAACTGTGACACAAATGCTCCAAGGGAGTGAGAGACTAACAGAAAGACAGAAAAACCTTCTATGTTTGGTCGTTTAGTGTAATTTTCCCAATGCGGTCATAGCATTTGTGCTAGAAGACGGCACCACTAAGGAGTGGAGAAGAAGCAGCATGAGCATGAGACACTCCTTGATTATACCCTCAATTCTCTTTCCTCTCTAAGAATCGGGTTTTCTGTTTCCAGAACCGAATCGTTGACTAATTGAATATGTCTGGTCCCAAAGGCATTCTCTTGCATAACCAGCTGGATTTGCATCTCCCGGATGATGGCACAACTCCAACTCTGAGCCTAAGCGTACCAAATAGTACTTCTGCATTTTATATGCTTTCTAAACAAATTTTATTTTATAGCCAATCCCTATCTTTCGTGGGAGGTGTTCTAGGAAAGCTAGGATATTATGAGAATTTAGCATCCTTGCGGTAAAATCATCCTATCCTTTGACCAAAACATTTACTGATGAGCTCGTCAAATTTACCAATCTTTATTCTGTACTTTCAGTCTACATACTGTTTTGCAAAGCGGCAATGTTCTCTTGCGCTTTTGAGTGGATCACCAGTTGGGTTATGTAGTGGTTTAAGGGAACTATCTGATTTGCTTGCTTCCAATTAACCTTCTCCAGCCCATTAAAAGCCAACAGATTTGGGTCAGATTGCCTTCAAGTATGACCTGCCCGTCGTTGAGCCATTTCAAGTAGAAAATGTCGCATCTCTCAGAGCCTCTTCCGCTTCCACAAAACGGGAGTCGGTGTCTTATGGCTTCACTACTACTGGCCGTGTTCGTGTCGACTCAGGATATGCAGGGATATTGGTACCTGAAATGGACGGGTTGAAAAAGGCCACTACATAGGCGCCGTCTCTCAAGAGGAGCGGTGTAGGCCTACTACTCATACCCAATTGCCCCTCATCAGATCTCTGCCTCTACATCCCTCATGCCTGCATCGGAGTGGGGCAGTTGTCTGCCGGCGGCCAGCTACATGACGAGCCTAAGGACAGGCGAAATCCGCTCCACTTTGTCACTTCCATATGACCTTCGTAGCCCCTTCCTCTTTTGTAGGCTTTGGCGTATGGGCGGATATGCAAACAGGGCCTGGTGTGTTGCACAACTCTCCCACTCCATGAACACTCTCCCTTGTCCTGTCTCCGCATTCTGATGCTGCTGCTTTTTGCTCATGCGTCCATCATTTTATAGCCCACGCAGACTCATTTTTTGCATTCTTTCTTGTCTCTTAGGTTGGAGTGAAGGAGAGGGCACGTCATATGAACGTCCGGCAGACTTTATGCAGTAAATCAGCGACATCTTGCATAATACTCCATTATGAGCATATATACACATGTATACACAAATATACACATGGGTATACTTTTTGAGAAAAGAACTGCGTTTGGTCCTTTTCGTGTGAACAGGCTTTGTGCGAGTGTATGTGGGTATATACGCTTATGAGCGGAGGGCTAGCACAAATGGCTGTGTATTTACCCAACTAACCCGGCGACCTGAGAAAGACGAAAGTAGAAATTGCCCAACTTTGTTGACCATGCCGGCCTGACGATAGAGGTGAAAGTTATCATTTTAGCTACAGGATCTTCCTTTACTTTGTTCCCTCGCTCTCCATCACACCAACAAATGCGTTTGTACACGCCTTCCCTTAGCGGCATAACATGCCTACTCCGGCATACACGCACAATTTCACAGTTTCTCGTTCAAATAAGAAGGCATAGGTCGCCGAAGCCTGCTTCCAGAATCAGCACAAACACCCTGGATTCGCACATGTGTATGCCTAAATGAGTGTACGCGAGTATGGGTAAGCAATGCCCCCCCACCCGGTCCATAAAGAAGGCTAACTATGTGATATGCTGACCATCTCTGGGACTTGGTATTACTTCGTGCGCTCAACCAGGTTATGACTATGCAGGGCCAAGCGTTCACTGTAGAATAAAGGATGCAAATGGTCACGTATTAAGGGCGGTCCTCATAGTGGAATTAGACTGAAGCTGACGCAACTGACAATCATCACATTGTTGATCTGACTTTCGTGTCATGTCAAAGTGAGCAATGAACATGTCTGCCATGGATTCATCTGGTTCAGCTGATAATGTCTTCCTGGGCCCGGGAGAACCTCCTGACAGACTTGATTACAGCTGGGATTCAAGAGATCTAGCGCTTTCTAGGTTTGAAGTCATGACAAACATGAGTTAAAACTTTAATGATGCCTGACTGCTGGAGCGACAGACGAAGGCTCAGCATTTTTTTCAGGATTAGGGTAGATGTGTCAACAAGAAAGTCAAAGTACATTTAAGAATTGGACCAGCAGGAGTCCGCTGCCATCTTCGGGCGAGACATTCCTACGAAACTCTGAATCACACTCATTCACACGAAATTTAAGTCAGCTCAACATTGAGCC